TGCAATCTTGCGGGACTTCTCCTTGACGCCACATCTCCTGGAAGAGTGCCGTCGGATGATCCATGAGTTGGGGACCGCAGTGCTTGTAGATCTCAACAGGGATCGCGTTCGATCCGGGCGCTGCCCTGCTAGAGAGCTGTTGGACGGCCTTGATCACTTCGTAGAGAGAGGGCGGAAAGTCGAAGTCGGCGTTGGTCTCCACTTGAGGCAGACGGACGATGGTGGAGGGATGATGGAGGACGCCTCTGAAGTGCTCGGCCTATCGCTGTAGGATTTGTGTTTTCTTGGTGAGTAGGGTACTACTATCGGTGTCGAGAAGAGGAGCAGTTGCTTTGGTTAGCGGACCGTAGGTAGTCTTGATAGCGGCGAATAAGTTATTCCATTCGTTGCAGTCCGCGTACCCTTGGATATCCTCGGACTTGCGAGCCGTCCTGTATCTGCCGCAGCCACTGTTGCACAAGGCGGTGACTACGGTAGAAGGCTGTTTTGTTGTCGTTGGTGACGTAGGCATTGTGCAGGCGGTTCTTTTGGTCGAGCGGATTGCTGATGGCGGCGTCGTTGTCATCGAACCAGTTCTGGGGTTGGTGACTTGCGCGACCGAGTGACAGCCGGGTGGTCGACTGGACTGTGTCCCTTAGTTGGTGCCATCAGCTCTTCGCGGAGGCGTTCTCGTCGGCGTCGGCAGCGGTGACTGGGAGGTTGGTTAGTCGCTGAGCCAGCTGGTTGCTGAAATGGAGATGATGAGAAGGCACATTCAACAGAGCAATATTTAAATTACCTTGAGGTTTCGTACGCGGCTGTAGATGGATCCCCATCTTGGAAATGACGAGGCGATGGCCGGTCCACACATCGGCATCTCTGATCGCCTTTGTCACCAGCACGTCCTGCTGATCCCGCCTCCGGACGAGGACATAGTCCAGCAGGTGCCAGTGTTTAAGAAGGAGACACGATCGCCGGGACAAGAGCTTTATTAGCCTGGCGGGCACTTCCGTATGTCAAGAAGGTTTCGGAAGCTGTCGGCCGCCTTCTCGCACCACTTGGGTTTGGAGTGGCACACAGACCGGAGGCAACCATCAGGCGTCTGGTCATGAAACCGAAAGACCCACTTCCACGGCTAGAAACATCTGGAGTCGTTTATCGGATCTGGTGCAGTTGCGGACATAGCAACTACGTCGGAGAAGCCGGAAGACAGCTCCGAACGAGAATGGCTGAACACGCGGCAGCGGTGCGCAGAAATGACGCCAGCTCTCAAGTTGCGGCTCATTTGACGAGATCCGGCCACACATATAAATTCGACGAGGCCGAATTCTCGCAAGAGGTGACAACCGCGTGAGCCGGGAGGTACTGAAATCATGGTTTACTGGCCTCCAGTCCATCAACAAGTGCAACGAGCTTCCCATTCCATACTCCGTGCTGAAACTTTGCCAAGGCGGAATAACAAGCCATGCGGGGAGGGCAGAGGTGAACACTTTTCCCAACACCGGGGTCGGTGCGTCGGATGGTCGAGCAATCATCACACCAACATCCAACGCACGTGATGAAATTGCAGCAATTATCGACTCGAATGTCGGCCATCAGGCAATGATCACACCAAGTGTGACGCTCCCGGATGAAGGGGGTAGCCGTGAAGGTTCATAGGTATGCGGTAGCATGGCTACTGCATCCTATAAATACCGCAGCCCCTTGTGCCACAACCATCCGTTTCTGCTTTTTTGTCCCTGATGATGGATTCGAGTAGGAATCCGAAACGTCAGGCTAATAAAGCTCTTGTCCCGGCGATCGTGTCCCCTTCTTCAAGACTACTTCCATGGACTCGTCTCTTCGCTCCTATAAGTGCCAGTGTCGCGACCGAGGATGCATCCATGCGGTCTTCTTTCGCATCGGTAGGCCAGAGTAGGTGTTGGTCAAGATGAGTCGGTGGTCTGCGCAGGTTCTTAGGAGGAGAAGGCCATTGCCATTGAAATCGTCAAGACCATGGAGACTCATCACTCCTCTGCATGCAGCATGGTCTGTGCCGACTCGGGCATCGAAGTCGCCAAGGATAATCAATTTATTTTCCTTCGACACAGTCGCCAGGACAGCATGCAGGTCCTTGTAGAATTTGTCCCTTGCGGCGTCGGGTCTGGTCATCGGGGGAGGGAGCGTAGACGCTGACAATGGTGGCGTATTTTCCTCCGCGGAGAGGCAGGCGGAGGCTCATCAGGCGATCATTGATGCCCCGCGGCAGACAGAGTGGTCGTCCTACGATGTGGTTGCGGTTGGCAAAGGCGATGCCCGCGTCCCGTCGCTCTGTCTTGGGGTGACCGCTCTAGAGGAAGGTGTGGTCGGTACCCGCCTCATCCAATTGACTTTGTTCGGAGAAGCGGGTTTGGCCGAGTGCAGTGATGTCAACCTTGCAGCGCGCCAGTTCCCGAGCCACTAGCTCCGTTCTTTGTTCCGGTCGGCTGCTTCTCGGGTTGTCCAAAATGGAACGTACATTTCAGGCTGCCAGAGTGAGCGGACTCACCCTATAAGCCGAGGAACGGAGGAGGAGGAGGTTGGAGGGTGTTAGAGGGTATTGTTTCTTGTTGGTTGGTTTCGACCGCGAGGATTGCCGTCTGCGAGTCATGGTCGGAGCGCAGAGGACGTGATCCCAGCATTTGTTTCGGGCACCTTTTCTAACCCCTTTCTCCTCGCGGAGGTGAACCGTTCTGACTCTAAATTGGGCTGCTTTGATATCCTATGCTGCCGCCCTCTCCACTGTAGCCCACGACTTTTGTGTTTACTGGGGGAACCACCCCAATTAGCCTGGGACTACCTAAGGCATCGCCGTAGGACTTGAAAAGTGTGGCTGTTGGGATGAGAAGGTTCTAGTGCCGGGATGCAGATCTTTCTCGTCCCTCTCTGAGAGAACTTGTTGCTGAAGTATGAACAATAAGCACACAAATTAAACAGAACGGCATCTAGCTTACAATGAGGTGGAACTCAAACAAGCAGACAAAAGAAATCAGACAAGAACAGCACTAAGCAGATGCAGTCAGCGTCACGGATACCTTCATTCACGGACATCACGAGATTTGGAATCTACCCTCCTTCCGGTGTCGTGTTCTTCCACTATGCTAATGAGCAGTTATCTCTGGAGAGCGGCCGGGAATGAGCATTGCTCACCAAACACACGGAAATATGCTCGGCAACTGATGTGTGCAGGTGATCATAAGACTTCCAGAAGTGAGTGTCAACGACCTCCTTTCCGGGAATAACCGTGCTAAATATAGCTGCGAAGGCAGATATGAAGCTGGGTGCGAAACTCTTCACCAGTAACCAGCTTGAAAACAGTATTAATGCCCCTACACAGCGTCAACGTTGATTTAATTTGCCTCGCAGTTGTCGACATAATCACACACCTGGGTATTACAACGTCAACAAACATCGAATTGGGCATCGCTATCGCCAATCGGTTCTTCGAAGTCAGCCAAGTCTTCGCCTGTTCGCAGCACCCTGCCTGTAACTGTCGCAGCGTCTTCCTAAGCGCAAAACTTGAGGTATACTCGGACACTGTTGTAAAAAGTAGAGCGGCTATTTTCGAAGCCGGTGAAGCGTCCGCGGACAGAGCGGAAAGTGTGGCTCGTAAGAATTAAAAATCGCGGATTAGCGACGCAAGCACTCAAACCTTGTCGTTTCACACTGTCAGCGGGCATTATGGGCACTGACTGGATTTGCTGGATATCTCCTGACACAGCGCGGTATCACCAGGACCAACCCGCTTCTCGTCTCACTAAGAACACCGTCACCAGCACCATCGTTGTTGAGGACAATCCGGCCATCCTACGCATCATCGCACTTCCCACAAG